ACTGCCACAGCACGTTGCCACTAGCGTTATTCCTGGTAATCCATCATGCGACCTCAAAAGTTAGGTACGAACAACTAACAACAAGCTAAGCAATCTCCAATGTATTTTCATGCTGTTAAGGAAACAGATCCCAATAGTAAAGAAACACTTCTCAGAGAATTAATTTCTATAGCATCAGTGACATTGGTAAGATTTAAAGAGCGCCGTGATCCAAAAAGTATGGCAGCAGCCCGCCTCTCATATCGCATTCCAGCCCATCCCACCTTACCCCCTTCAGAAACATATTTTGTTCATGCGTTAGTTTCGGGTTACTTTAAACCAAAACCATGATGCAGCCCTTACTTCAGACCCGCTATTGTAGACGACATTTGTAAGTGAGAAGATCGTTGTCAATTCTTGTTGCACAAGAGAGAAGTTTTCAAACCAAATCATCACTCGAGCATCAAGCTGTATACATTCTTTGTCGATATTTCATTTATTGCTAGTTGAAATTTGAAATAGAGTTTGTGTCTTAATAGTTGCTCATTATGACTCAGGTCTAGAGAAGCAAAGACGAAATCACAGTATCAAAGTATACATGTACTAATTCCGGCAATAGTCCTCTAAGAAGTAAATAACCTTGTAAAAATGTAAGAACGTATTTGGCTCTCAGTGGTTAAAGGGTGACTGTACCGTCTGGGGTGGAAAGCCAAAGGTGGGTTAAACGGTTGGTAGCCTTTCGTAATGTACAAAACACAAAAAACTAAGTTATTCACAAGCACGGAAAACGGGCTTTAGGCAAAGCGCCGGTTTCTGGTTCCACCAACGGGGGTCCGTTTGGGTCTGCCATCTGCGTTTGTTTAGCTTGCCGATCGCCTCTGCCCTGACAATATCATATTCCTGCGGGCTTGATTATTGAAGAGAGCAGCAGTGGCCTCCAGTATTACCCTACGAGCAGTACTAAATCGATAGCAATTGTATTAACAGTATTTAGTATTCCATACTGCATGTTTCCCATGGACTCGGTCTTATGACAGTTTTGTTGCTGTTTTTTGTTTTATTACAAGAACAAATTGTTGTCCATCTGTAAGAACACATAGGGCCTAGAAACTACCTATTTGAAGGCAATGCCATCCTGGTCGGCCAGAGAGGAGACATACGTGTAATCTAAAGTTGCAAGTGGATATCCACTCGAACTGGATAACAATGCAAATGGCAATTTACATGTCGTAAAAACATATATACGTGCTGATTGTTAAATTTTCTTATTTATGAAAAATGGAAAGACATGCAACGACGCCCAATGGGGAGGACTAGAAACTGGTGGTTCAAACAATGTGCATGACGTAATGGTAGTTACATCGTGCTAAATGTTACAAAAACGCTTAAATTGGAAATATTGAAAAACATTTAGTTTGCAACACTGTTCACTATCTACCCAATAATCAGAGCAGTATGAATTATAACTACCGTGTAAGCATGAATTCTTTGAGGCACTCACTTTCATGAACAGCCAGATAATTAAATCACAAAATGTAAAATAATTTGCATTTATTAAGGAATTTAAACCGTGACTTCTAAAACAGGGTGCTGACGAGCATGCATTCCCTTCAGTGTAACACCATAGTGATAACACAGACCCAGAGGAGAGCGCTTCTTGTGTTACGCAGTTGAGCCCTAAGGCAACGCCAGGTGTCACTGATTTTACGTAAGCGTGCTACTGGGCTTACTCGTCACTCCACGCGCCGTACACATCTTGCAGTGGCATGAAACTCATTCTGCGGCTGCGCAGAAATAACAGCTGACTTTTCGAGAAACTGTATATTGCCCGTCCTAAAATAAGCGCAAATTGCCGCCGTGCATCTAACTAAATGACTATACAATTTGAAAAGGAAATGTGCATCCGTGATTGTAGGGGAGAATCGCAAACATTTGGGCAAAATGCATGGGAACACATACTTCAGTTGAAGCGTATAGGTCACTGCTTTCTGCTTGTTTACTAGAGAACAACCTCAGGAAAATGTGCAATTCCAAAATTCACTGCGGGAAGATATCCGACTAGATACATAAGTTATCCTAATGTTGAAAGGGCACCAATACAGAGAAATATCTATGTATCTTTACCCCATCAGCAATTATACTTAACATCAGTTAAAAAGTTGACAAAATATGCCAAGCAGAGGAGGCAGAGGCACAGGTCATGAGGTGGCATTACAACCAGAAGATATAGCCAAAATGATTTGGTATTAACACTTCTTAGTTTGACAGTGATGACCATTAGAAGTAATGGGATCATCTGGGTACTTGTGTTTTTTTAAGCACACCATTGCATACAGACACAAAGACAAATAATGACTCTCTGTAATGGATGCGCAAGATCGACACAATTATTATTTTATATTATTAGATACTCGTCTGTTAGGCAGAGTGCTTCAAGCAACAGTGTTCTTCTCAATGAAGTCGTTGTCCACTAGTCTGATATTATTGAGTATATTAAACGACTTAAGTTGTTCCAAAGAAGCAACCTGTGAAACAAACTTTATATCGCAGAGGTACTGTTTTGAAATGGACAAAGCAAGCACAAACACACACACACAAGCTGAATTTCCGAGTCAAAATTCTAGTGTTACAATTATTACGCAAAACAGAATCAAAATCTTCAGTACACACACTAGACCTACTTCTGGGCAAACCCAGCAAAGTTTCCGCAAATGCGGAACTTTTAGTGGTATTTGAATATTTGAAAGGTGTTTAAGAACGCTTAAGGACGAAATGTATTATTAGCTCATTAATGAGGAGCAACAAAACGAGAAATAAAATATCGCTGGAAGAGTCCGTGAGAAATTTAACATAACGCCAGTGCGTTGTGATTGAAACTATCTTGAATACTTCTCACAAAAGCAACAATTGCGCAGATCAAGAGATTCTTCAAAATAGTTTCCCTCTCAGAGCCCTGTGGCTAATCACATCAATATTTTATAGGAAGATAAACCTAAATTATACGTATAGCCTAATTACGTTTTTCATGAAATTTAGCAGTTGGCTCAAAAGCAAACTATACAAGCGACAAAAGGCGGAAATTAATTCTTATAAATCGAACACTGCGTGGTGAGTTTAATGAAGTGTCATGCCTCCATGTTTGCACAAGTGTTGAAAAAAAACAGGAGACAGTCATGACCATCTATGTCATCGTGGTGTTTTATTTTTTGAAACATAGAGCACCAAAGTTTCAAATAGCAAACATAATGGCATCAGACTTTGTGTTCATCTGCGCTTTCTCATGGGGCTCGATGGATGTGTCCCACCTCGCTGCCATAAAAAAGCACGCATGTACACAAAGCGTTACGTAATCATAATTTAGGTCGATTGTATCTCACCGACGTGTGATTTTTCAGTTCCTGCAGTACTAATTAACCATAATCAAGCGCATTCTCAGCTTAAGATCTTAAGATGGTGTATAAAACATTTGACATTATAATATGTACGACGCAAGACGTAAATATATTTGCGTGTGTACCTTCGTAACTTGCTATCTTTCCAAGCAATCTTAGTGCGGAAATACCTACAATTCCTATGTTCTCACTTACGTGGCCCCTATAACAACTTGCCGTTTTTATTCAGCCGTCGCCGTCCGGCAGTGTCCGCATTTAGGTACATTTAACCGCAAGTGGGGCACCTGCCAACACGGCAGCACCAAGGTCGAGTTTCTGCATCGGTGTCCACATACAGTACAAACGACACGCAAGTCGTGCTCAACGTGTTACAAATTGCCCATTTCATTGAAGGCTAAACAGTCTGCGTACCGAGCATGTTGATTAATTCCCCTCAGAAAAAAACAATGACAACAGTGTAATGTTGTGTGCGTATTTAAAATCATGGGATTAATTTTTTTTTATTGAGTCTATGAAATGCTGTTTTCTGCCGGACGTTCTACACCTTACTGCCTTTCAAAAACGTAAGATTGTTTCAAAAACTAAACTTTGTTACTGCAGCCTTCCAATTTTCAGAGAATATCGGAAGGCGTATCCCAAAAAACAATAAATTCTTTGAACTGGGCCGTTGGAAATTGTTTATTTGGAGTGATTATAATTGGAACTGAATGGAAATATTTCCCCTCCGGTGAAATATGAAAGCATATATATACAAAATTGACGAACAAACACAAAATTGACGAGCATTGTGACAGGACTGTAATTTTTAGCACTACAAATTTACGAATGATGGGCGAAAAAGAGGAGGGACTA